AGTCCGATATTTGAAAATATGCATGCGTTCGTTGTCACTGTTAAACTGTTGTAATAACAATGGAATAATAAAATAATTTACTCAAATGTACATAATAATACATATACATATCCATAAAAACAATATTAAACGCAATAACTTTTTTGTACGCGAAGAAAAACTAATATAGGTCCGTCGGGATACGAACCCAAGACTCCTTTCTAATACGTCTACTTTATAGCGAATGGATGGAAGAGAATCCGTTCACGACCATGGTCACTTCTTAGATTTAATGTAGTTCACAAATTCACCGTTCTCATAACGTAGAGGGCAGCAGAAAATCCCTGACTTTTTACACTATCGGTATTTCAGAACACGAAACACGAAGTCCTATAAGATGATAGGTCTATCCTATACCTAGTCGGTGCTATTATGTAGCATGAAACCAAAACGGGTAGATTCCTACTTTTAATTCAGAATTGGTCGCTTGGTATAGTACTTGCCCGGGAACAATGAATTTCCAGGCGTAGGCATTCTCATTTCCTCTCTAATTAGGGCATCTGTATCTAGGAACTTTCTACACACGGTTGGCATCCCGAATTAGTTGGTCCGTCGTCACCAGCCGCCATTCCGACCAGTTTCGACGTCTCGTTCCGAGTTTTGTTAGTTACCGTGAAAGAAACCGCGATATTCGTGAATACTACATCGAAAGTGTTGCTGCTTGCAGGAGAACCAGTCGTGAGTACAATTTCTAAGATTCCATTATTTACTGTACACTGATCTTCATTCCCGTTGTTCGCTTCTGTAAGAATGCGGGGAATCATAATGGGTCTTCGGTAGTGTGACTCTTTGCATGTTTAAACAATATAAAACTGCAGTATAAAAAATGAAAACATTGTTTCGTTTATTGTATTTTCGCTGGACTGATAGCGAATATTCTGTTTGAAATTGAAATTTATTTCTCATTAACAATCACGACGACTGCGTTGAGATGCTTATCACTGATTATTCTTGAAACTGCATCGGTTTATTATATTTAGTCGACGAGCTTCGATGACTTTACCAATTTATGACATCCAGAGGATAGTCGTATTATTCTTGCTTCTCCGTTTTTTGAACGCATATACAAATTAATTATTGAATCAATGCGTTTTTCTTGACCCAGTTTGATACAAACGTATGTACCTACATATGTAGAGAGCACAAGCGTTTTGTGCGCTACTTATACATTGCGATGCGATCAGAATGAACGAAAATGCCAAAATAAACTTTTTTTGATAGGAAATTAAGACTGACTATAATTTAAGTTGATATTTACTCTTTGAGAAATGTGTATGATTTATTATTAATAAACACACTCTATACTAGACAAAGAATTTATCTAACATAGTGCCAAATCTATATTATGTATATTAGTATGAAATGATTACATTTTATTCTGAATTTTGTCTATCATTATCTATTTTAATGATAGTACATGTATACCAATTATACATATTTTAGTAAGTTATTAAGAATTGTTGTTACCATTGCTATTTTGTATATCTTGGTGCAAGCCTTCTTCAACTACCTATACATGTTTGTTTCAATGCAAATAGTTTATTTTATTCTCCAGATCAAAAGTTAAATCTATTAGAACAATGTAATTATATTACATTTAGCATAATTCTTGTCTAATAGATTCAACAAAATGGACAAAATTGTTGGAGAATGAAATAATTTCATTTGCAAACAATTATATCAATTTGTGACTGTTATACCTTCCTTTAGTTTTAGTTTTTAAAAAACTTTACTTGCTTCCAACAAGAAAGGGAATAATATACAATGGATATTATAATTTTATAGCCTTGAGAAGAAGATTTATGTGCACTCATTTTTAGTGTATATTTAACTCTTACTTTCAAGAATATGTACTGATAATCCATTGGTTTTCCTTTCCACGAAAGCAAGTGGTTGCTTTCATTACTTCATTTTTATGATAACTGAATGGAAACATATCTGCTGATAATGATTTATTACATTAAGCAAATTAAGAATTACTCTTTGAAATCTATTATGTACATATGTGTATTTTTTCCAAACATTCATAATAAATCACATTTTACATATGTATCATTACTTATTGAATAAAGCATAAGAGAATTATGCCAATACATATATTTTAAAATGTTTCATTGCTACTCTGCAATATTTATTACTGATTGATAGTCATGAACAAATCTAATACATTTTTATGTTAATCATACATAAAACTTACTCTGTTTGATTTGGTAATGAATTGTTTAACTATATGTATTTAATTTTCGTCGGACTACTATAGAATAAGAGAATAATATTATTTATATAATATTCTACTAATATAGTAATTGGTTGATTGATTATTTCCACCAATGATTACAAATTTAGGAGAACTTTCCTTGAAATTATTATCTAGACAACCCAATGCTGATGTATAAAATATTTCAGGTATATCATTTAAACTTTTTCTTTTAAAAGTTGCCTCAGTACTTCTAACACATACAGATATTTGTACATTAATTTTATTCAAATGTATGTATGATTGGTGATTATACCCTGAAAGTAAAGTACATAAACTGGTACATGTATATGTATATATATTTAATCTATATTGTGTGCATGTGTGGCAGTAACTCTATAACAATTTTCTTTGAATACAAAATAGCGTCCAATCGGACTGCGGCCCTTAAAACAGTTTGGAATGCACTAGCAAACCATTTGCTAGAGAGAAGGTTTAAAAATGCAAAATTGGAACCAATGGCAATTGTCAGCTGGTGCTGTTGCCTCTACAATGCCTCAACCACCAGTTTATGCTGCACCAGGAGCAGATCCCATGGCAATGATGCAAGCATACATGCAGTATTATAGTCAACCAGTAAGTATTATAGTAAAAATTCCTGTTTATAACATAATTTCAAGAGCTTCGAGTAATTAGATCTTTGATCAGAGTTATTAAATGTTTTGAATTGTCACAAACTTCATAATTGTCCTTTTAATCTGAAGCTAAGAGTGTAAACTTATTCATTTATTTAGTATCGAGCAGAGTAGCTATAGTATAATAAGTAATAGACACAATGAAAGTATTATATTTTTCTATTAGGCACCCAGTGGATACACAACGGAACAGTGGGCTGCAGCTCAACAACAAAATTGGGCTCAGTGGCAGCAGTGGCAGCAGCAGTATCAACAATGGCAAACTCAATATGGAGAAAAGGTATGCAGAAGATTAGTTTGGCATTAAACAGTAATGAGTTCAACTGTATGAAATATATTTCCAATTCTTGATGAAAATTGCAATTTGTTTCTGATGAAAATGTAAGATAGAATCCATACCGCAATTACAAATAAAATATTAATTTTTCTATTCAATCATTTAAACATTAAATTATGTCATATCGATTTATAGAATCACTTTATTCAATTTTGTTTCAGTATCAAGAAACAATGAAGCACATGTCTGCCCAGAATATGAATCTGGCCAATCAGGTGTCACAATTACCAATTGTGCAACCTCCACCACCTCTTCCGAAAGAGGATACAAAACCACCATTACCCCCAACCACGATAAACACATATCAGTTTACAAGCATGCCTCCACCACATCAAAACAATCTTCCATTATTTCCTGCTAAGCAAAACGCGAACGCGGAAATGCAAACTAGTGTACAAAGTTATCCTCAGAATCCCCCTCTACCTCCTAATCAGCCACCATTACCTCCTGAAAGTAGTAGTAGTAGCAAAGAAGGTAATTTAACCGGTAAACGCGGTAGCAGTAGCGTTAGTGAATCAAGTAGTGCTAAAAAGTTGAAAGTTGAAGACGACGAATTAACTGAAGCGGAAAAAACGTTTGACGCTCAGTTTAAACAGTGGGAGGAACAATTTAATAAGTGGAAAGAGCAAAATGCTAATCATCCGGACAAGGTAAGTAATATTATGATCGTCTGTTATTTTGAAGAAAGAATTACAGTGTCAATTAACATTCTAGACATGAAGTAGCACTGGCTTTAATTTTTCCAAAAGAAATGTCACTTCATTGTAGACCCAGTACAAGCAGTACGAAGCGAAATGGACATCCTGGCGTGAGAAGCTTATAGAGAGACGTGAACAGATGCGTAGAAAACGTGAACAGCAAAAGCAGGCTGTTGCTAAGGCAGAAGTGGAAAAGAATAAAACCATACCTGGTGACGAAAAGATATTGAATATTCTGACGAGCACAGAAAATCAAGGATTGATTAACAATTTGTTAGGCATTGGGAAAACTCTTGGTTTAACCGGAAAACAAAACACCAGTGTACCTCCACCGCCACCGCCACCACCAGCTACAGAAACTGTTGCATCCAGTGTTCATACGTCAACCATGGTGTCCTCTTCTCAAGGAACTTCACAGGTGTCAACGTCTCAGCCAACAGCTATGAACATGATGTCTTCTAATGCGATGACATCGTCGCCTTGGAATTCGCAGCAATGGGCACCACAGTATAATACAGGAGTGAACGTATCAGGCTTCCCTAATTATCAGTCCATGACTGGCGTGCCTCCACCACCTTTCGGTACACCATCAACACAAATGGCTGCACCTAATTTCACGCAGCCGCCACCAAACTTTGCACAACCGCCACCTGGTTTTACTGGAAACGATCGACAGAACGCTAATGCACGACCCTCGGTTCCATCTAACATGCAAGGAAGACCACCGCCATTTGGTTCGAGCAATGTAAATAGTCCTGATGGAAATCATGCTCCCACCGATCGTCTCAGTCAAACTGGTCCTCCGGGCAATTTTGGTAACAGTGAACTCAATCGACAAAAGGATGGTGCACCATTGGATCGTTTTGGTCGAGACGGTACGAACGAACAAGGTAACTCGTTTCGACCTAATGATCTATATGGTCAACGAAACGATGGTTATAAGTTCAACGATGAGAGATCACTTGAGACAGATCAGTTTAGAAGAGATGATAGAAACTATCAGGAGCAAAGTAACAATCAGTTCAATCAGCAAAAGAATGTCTTCGGCAGTGATAGATTTGCTGCTGGAAATGATCGTTTTGGACCAGGAAGTAATCGATTTGGCCCGAATGATAGATTTGGTCCGGGGAATGATCGATTCGGTTTAGGAAACGATCGTCCTGTCCTTGGTACAACTGATAGATTCGGACCCGGAGATACCAGGTTTGGAAATGATCGATTCGGACCACCGTCTGAAAGAACTGGACAAGGAGGTGATAATGTTAGTGACCGTTATGGACCAAATGATAGATTTGGACATAGCAATGAATCGTTCGGTCCAGGTGGTGATAGATTCAACAGAGGTAATCTAGATCGGAAATCGAATTTCGATCCAAAAGATACAGGAGATAGGCGTGGTTTCAATAGACCTAATCAGTTTCAACCGCCAGATAAATTCGCACCAGAATTGAAAAAGCTTATGGAAAAACGACGAGCTGCGTTTGATGTGTTTAGACCAAGCTTTCTTGACTCTGATAAAAGTTGTAATGTTGGTTCGCTAAGCGAAAGCTTTAAGAGAATAACTGGTGATTCTCCGTTCATGAAATCTGGAAATAATAATTTTGGTCCTCGTGGACCACCTGGCCCTAGCAATTTTAGAATGCCCGGGGACTTGAAACCTCAAGGAAATTTTGATTTTGGACCACGTTATCCTATGGGAATTGGACGTAACACCTCGATTGATTTAAGAGATGGTGTTCCATTTAGAGGACCCACTTCCAGTCCGCAACAAGTGCACGATCCTATAAACACAGAACTCAGATCAGACACGATAAACCTAGGGAACGATACGCATATGATTAAAGAGAACAAGGGTGAATCTGTCGGTGGAGCGGATCAAACGGAACTAACGAATTTTCAGCCCAGCGAACAAAATATTGATAATACGCGTAAAGATGATCTTAATCATTATTCGGTGTCAACTGAGATTCCATTATTAGAGAAATCACCTTGGACCGAGGGTCAATTTCCCGCAGATAATTCAGCGCAGAAGGATCCCACTAATATGTCCATAGATGGTGAGAATTCGTCCAGTATTCCTTTAGAACAAGATACTCAGAACGTGATAAATGAAGCAACAGAAACGAATCAAGATGTATCCGGCAATGATAATGGGGTTAACAAGAAAACCGAAGTATTACCTTTCATGGGCGAAAATGATCCAAAACCTGAAGATTTAAATATGGAACCACCGCCTGAATTGCCAAATTTGGGACCTGTTACCACAGGTACTATAGAACCGATGGATCCTCTGTGTAGAACGGATGGAAAAGAGTCGTCCCCGCCGCCTTTATTGAACCGTCCAGATTGTCCGAATCCTGGAAACTATTTTGATCCCGCGTTTGGTCCCAAAGGAATGCAATTCAGACCAAATGCACCGTTCCTTGGCCCCCGAGGACCTAATGACAGTAGATTTCCTATGTTTGAACCTAGAGGCCCAATGCCGTTTAGTCCAACTGGTCCGAATGCATATTCATTGGGGCCTCGAGGTCCTAACGTCGGACAGTTTGGGTTAAGAGGACCCAACAGTGGACAGTTCGATTCGCGAAGTCCCAGCGAAGAACAATTCCGTTCAAGAGGACCTAATGATGGGCCGTTTGCGCCCAGAGGTCCCAATAATGGGCTGTTTGCGCCGAGAGGTCCCAATAATGGACCGTTTGGTCCCAGAGGTTCTAATATTGGACAGTTTGGTCCCAGATACGAAGGACAGTTTGGTCCAAGGAGACCTAATGAGGGTCAGTTTGGTCCTAGAGGGCCCAGCGATGGACAATTTGGTCCTAGAGGACCCAGCGATGGGCAGTTTGGTCCTAGAGGACCCGGCGATGGACAGTTTGGTCCTAGAGGACCCAGCGATGGACTGTTTGGTCCTAGGGGACCCAGCGATGGACAGTTTGGTCCTAGAGGACCCAATGATGGACAGTTTGGTCCTAGAGGTCCCAATGATGGACAGTTTGGTCCTAGAGGACCCAGTGATGGTCAGTTTGGTCCTAGAGGACCTAATGACAGCCAGTTTATGCCCCAAGGACCGAACAGACAGTTTGGGCTTGGTAGACCTAACGATGCATCTTTCGATAATCGGGGTCCTAATAATTTGCAATTTCCTCCTAGGGGATCTAATGAAGGCCAACCTAAATTTTCTGGTCCCAGTGATACATTATTTGGTTCACGGCGCAATGAGACGCCTCATCTGCGAAGTCCAAGTGGATCAAAAGGAACATTCGATACACCCGCTGATGGCAGTTTTGGACCACAAGGTCAAAGTGACACATTCTTTGGATCACGAGGTTCACTTGGTGGTTCAAATGATTCGTTCACAACGCGTGACAAGGTTAACAATATGTGTTCCAAGAATAGAGAGAATTCAGATGCTGGTAATTCTGACACCCGGGGCGATGGAGGGGTGTTCAAGCCGAAGGATCAAATGCCGATAGAACCGGGTATTCAACAAGGCAAGTTTGATTCTAATGACAAACAAAATCCTGGATGGAGGCAACAGTTCTCGAAAAATGTGTTAGGCGATACCGATCAAAGATCTGGGCAAGACTTCGGTTACAATGATAAACCTATGCTCGCTCGAAATGATCCGTTCAATCAAACTGCAATGAATAATATGGAAAGAAGGTCTCCTTTGGATGTGAATAAGTCTAACGTACCAGACATCAGGTCAGACAAGACTATGAGCGAATTGACAATTGGGGAGACGTCATCAGGATCCGAGTATTCAAAGTTTAACAGCCCTAATACGTACATGAAACGACCAATGGATAATCGACAATCTCAAGTCAGGTGCCCGACCGTCAAAGAATTCTGTATAGAGAGACAATTTAATTATAATCATGCTGGGGCCACGACTGAGAAGAAATTCGTCGAGCATATACCAGCCAAAGTTGTCGACTATGCCCACACGTCCCACTCGTCGATTCAAGATCACTTGACTCCTGTGCAGTGCTTCGACTACGGACATGGTAATCTAAAGCCACTGGTACCGGAACGTGAGGCGCAGCCAAAGAAAGATTTCAAAGACTGGGAGGAGAACGAACAGAACTTGAAGGAGTACACAGAGAAAATAAGGAGCTACGAGCACTACTCCTCCAAAACGGACGGTAGATCAGGCGATTATAGGCACAGAAGGCACAGCAATGATTATGTGGACGATAAGAGGGCCGAAAGAGAGTATAGGGAAAAAGATGACTACAGACCAAAAGACAGAGATGATAGGATATTTGATCGTGTGTCTAGCAAAAATCAAGACAGTCGACACGACAAGAACGCTAACAAAGGTAATTTGATTGTTGAATTGTCTGAAATCTCTGAATTTGAGTATCATTATTATTGTTTGTCGTAGTCTTTTAATTATGAACGAACATTGGTCAGATTTAATAAGAACTACTCTGTGAGAATATAAGTATCCACGATTTTTTTGTCCAATTTTATTCTTAGTGTTTCCTTTTTCTGAACTGTAGAAAGAACAAGGGAACGGTGTGAACCACCTCAGAAGGAAACTAATAAAGAACATAAGAAAGATGAGGACAGGTACGGTACCAGTGGATATCTGTCATTTATGCATTCGTTTCTTATGTAAAATAAGTAATCGCGTGATATTATGTTAATGTGTAAATCTATGGACTCGTTTGAAAATATATAACTGTCTTTAGATCGAAAGGAAATGTAAACTGGCAGGAGAACTCAAACAAGAGCATCGTTGAGACAATACCGTCGGACAGCAGGTACGTGACATTGATTATTAAAACTGCGTCTTTAATGATTTTAGTCCTTTTGAGACATTGTAAAATAAATGCTTTTACAACTTTTGTGTTCTTACACAGACTCGAGTTATAACATTGGCATCCAGTCATAGATTATTTAAATTTAAGACGAACGTTGCATATTGCATAAAGTATGAAGACTTGTTTATGCAAACTGATGCTGTGTCTTCAAACTGTTAAAATAAGCAAGCGCATTGTGCTCGTATTTCTGTGGTGTCAACGTTTGACACTTGTTAAACATTTTTGAAAACCACTGGTTTTCGTTACACGTTGAACTTTATATGTTTATATGTATGGGTTACATTATTAATCCAACTATTCTGACTAGTTAAAATACTCGAAGGACTTGTTGTTCTCATGTGTACTATTGATGATTCTGTGTTTACAAGTTGATGACATTTTTGTCGTCGTTAGATCATTTGGAAATTCAAAGTTAAACACATGAAACATACAGCAACATAATACAAACATGTTTCATTTTTATATGTTTGTGCCATGTGCAAATATGTTTTCTGTTGTTTAAACTTCTTTTTTTTTTTTTTTACCTAAATACAGGTAACGTGGAAAAGTACACACCGTTTTCAGAATTTTCATAGCATTGTCGCTGTCGCCTACAATTGCTCCATAAAGCATTTCTGTTTTTTCCTAGAACGAGAAAAATTTAGATACGTTTAACGTCTTAATACCTTGTGCAAAGCTTTGAATTGTGACTGAACTAGAAGGTATATTTCGAGTATTAGTCACATTGAATATGTAAAGTATTATATACCTGTGATCATTTATATTTCGCTCCTGATTTTGTTTCTTTTGTGTTCAATACGAAAAACTGTTTCAACATTTTTGCTACATACTTACAAATCATAGGGTGGGTTGATAAGATCTCGTAGTAAATTAAAATTATGCATTATAGTGTTACAGACACACAACACAATGTACTGGAACCTGCACCAAAGACTTTGGAGTTGGCGAAAACTCCAAACTGCACAATGGTGGACGACTTACTGTGTCCTCCAGGTCGTCAGAACAGACCACCAAAAATAGCTATCATCTTGAGAGGTCCACCAGGCAGTGGAAAATCATTTGTTGCCAAACTTATTAAAGTGAGTTAAATAAATATCCTTCGTAGTCGTTTCGAAGTACATACTTTTTGTTTTGTAGGACAGAGAAGTAGAACAAGGAGGTTCTGCACCAAGAATCTTAAGTCTTGACGACTATTTCTTGGTTGAAAAGGAAATAGAATCTACAGATGATAATGGCAAGAAAGTTACAGTTAAGGTATAGAAACGTATTATTCAACCGTTGAACTTAATTTTGCTTTAATGTAATATTTGTTACTTATTATGACTTCGATGAATTCCGTAGGATATGGTTTATGAATATGAAGAGGCAATGGAACAAAGTTACATAACATCATTAGTAAAAGCCTTTAAGAAAAATATCACCGACGGTTTCTTTAGCTTTATAATACTAGATTGTATTAACGAGAAGATTTGTGACTACGAAGAAATGTGGAGTTTCGCCAAAACCAAAGGTTTTAAAGTAAGTTCCAATTGTTATGGGAATAGGTGATTGTTATTATAGTGCCCTATAGAGACACTCGGTTTTAGGTATATGTATGTGAAATGGAAATGGATTTACAAATCTGCTTGAAAAGAAATATTCACAATCGTACGGAAGATGAGATAAACAGGATTATAGACTATTTCGAGCCGACACCAAGCTATCACCAGAAACTAGATGTCAATTCGATGTTGCAAGATCAAGCGATTGAAGAGGTCGGTTACCTAGACAATTATTAGACTGTGTAAGTTGCATAAGAATCTTATTCAAATTTGTCTTCTCATAGGTTCATATGGAAGATAGTGAAGAAACACAAGAAAAGGTGCCATCTCCACAGAATGAAGATAGTCAGGATAGTCAAGAAGATACTCAAGATGGTGTTGTAAGTTTTTTCTGTAATAGATAGAATGTATTGTGTAAAAGAAATGTTCATGATTGTCAATATAATTTTTAGGGTGTGAGCAAATGGGAACGAATGGAAGCAGAAGATAAATTAGGTCAGTTTTATATACAATATATTCACGCATATTTCCATATACTGTAATGAAATTTCTGTAAAGGAATCACTTCTCTGCCATACTAAATGTATGCATATGTAATACAGATCGTTTGGATGGTCTTGCAAGAAAAAAGAACGAGGGAAAAGTTCAAACAATGAAAGACTTCCTTCAGGTTCCTGACTACTACAATATGGAGGACACTTCCGGTAAAAAACGGGTACGTGAATCTTTAAGTTGCCAGTGAAACGTCAACGTTTTGTGATAATATATTACCATCAGTACATATAAATTCAATAGGTACGATGGGCAGACTTGGAAGAACGAAAAGAGCAGGAGAAAATGCGTGCCGTTGGATTCGTGGTTGGACACACCAACTGGGATCGTATGATGGATCCAACGAAAGGAGGAAGCGCTTTAACACGCACAAAGTATATCTGATTTAACTTTACTTCTAGTATACCTAGAAAAGATTAGAAGTACAATTATCATTATTTGCTTGCAACTACTAGTCTACAAATTCATACGACTCCTAATAAAAAGAACTCTGTAAGATTTTTTAGTATTTTGACAACTGGAAGAAAAATGAACGAGTTTTATGTTAAGAAATGTAATGTTATTGTGTAGTGTAAAAAATTAACATTATCGTGTGCACATAGGAAAAACTTCATGTAAAAAGGTGGTCGGTGTTTGTAAGAAAAGTGTCCTTTTTTTGAGTATTATTCATACCATGTGAAAAATATTCTCTTTACATAAAAGACTGCAATTTACTGTTACAGTTTTACACAATTTTCTGCGAGTCTTATGAATCGTATCCATGCTATAAAATCAATCAACACATCGTATAAATATTTTTGATGAATTGAATGTAAAACTGTTACATTTTTTTTTATTTTAATTACATATTTATGTATATATCATCAGAAACTAATCTCTGAAACTACATCTTAAGTGTAAATGGTTAAGGTGAAATGTTCATTACATTAATTTTACTGTAACAATACGTTTGTTTTATACATACATATGTACATGGAGAACTTTTTATTTTCCTCCTTATTTAATCCACATTGTCATTTGTTATATTTTTAAATGTAGTTATCTTCGCTAAGATTGCACTTTGTTTTAAAGATTATAAGTATTTTTTTAGACATTGCCATAGAAATGTTATGTCAGTAAGTAATGCCAGTGTCCTTACATAATCATTGTTATTCCAGGTTTTTCTCGCTGTCATAATCATAGTTGTCTTTTCGTTCTACTGACCTCAGTAACGGAAAGAAGTGCGAAAGCAAGATGTCTACAACTTTCAAGTTCTTCGAACAGCGTTTTACTGTTTCTAAAAAGTCCATTTAATAGCATCGGCATTAAATAACTTCAGTTTACGCGATGCAGGCTGTAATTACTGTACATATACTATAGTTCTAATGAAATTGTTTTGATTACACATTTTTATATCTACTTCGTGCATTCTGTATAAAGTGGAACTACAGCACTAGTGTATGGTATAATCATACACTACCTATTAAGGGCGTTCTACTGCTAGCAAATTAATATATACATAAGTTGTTAAAATCCAAAAGATAATCATTGTATGAATAAAATAAGGAATAAATTATACAGAATAATTTGACATTTTATTATCGTAGTTAACGATAGCTATATTTTAGAACGGTTAAAATAATGTTTTTGATTAATTATATATGCTGTTAAAATTACAATGCATCAAAGAACCATAACAGATTGTAGTTGTAATATTAAAAACATAGTTATAATTCCTGAAGCATCTTTCACCCAATTGAAGAAACACTAAGCAACACATGACTCTTCATCCATCAGAGAGTATTATCTATAAAAATTGTTAAGAACTAATTATTTTCGAATACAATCTTTATAAGTGTAGTACATAAAACTTCCTGTAGATCTATAACTTTACTTTTCAGATTGTAAAAGTTTATAAATGCATCATAGAAAATAAAGAATCATATACTTTGATAGTAACGTATCTAGGTTATTTAAAAAGACGAGAATTATAATAAATATGCATATACATACATGCGACAATATAAAATTTGTGTTTCTATTCAAACATTAAATATCCTTGTCTCATATTTCCTACATTATTCTATCCTCTTAATAAAAAGAGTGTAGAATTAATAAGAGACCATAATTAAAAGTTAGTATTTTGATATTCTACCCTATTCTCTGTTATTTTCTGTCTTTATCTACGACCTCTACTAGCATTCTGTGTTCCTAGTAAAAAGAGCGTAGATGTAACAGGAGATCATAATCAAAGTTAATTTTCTGATTTTCTAGCCTTTTCTTAGATATATTGCTATCTCTATCTAATACCTCTCCAAGCAATCTCTGCTCCTAGTAAAACGAGCAGCAATGTAATAGAAGACCATAACTAAAGGAAGTGTTTCGATTCTCTATCCTTTTTGCTTAGATTCCTCTCCTTGTCTAATACCTCCACCATCTGTCTATGTTCCTATTACAAAAGGTCTAATTCTAACAGGATTTTATAATCGAAGTTGGTAATAACTGTTTCATCCTTTTCTTTACATTGTACCACTTTGTCTAAAAGCTCCACAATCATTCTGTGATCCTAATAAAACGGGGCATTTTCAGGCAAGAAATGATAGTCGAAGTGATTAACATGTACATTAATCCTGGCTTATGCAACCCGTTATGCTTACATGTGGTACGGTTTTCAGTAACGACATTTGCAGAGATCAGTCTCTTAACTTTAAAAAGAAACTATATTTATTGCTCAATTTAATACATAATTTAATAAATTGTATAAATATTGAAAAAATAAATCTACCACGCATAATAATGCTTCAGTGAACGAAACTTAACTTATTAGTTTATTATCCCCCATAGTAATAATAGTTTTGATAGCACAGATAGATGTTTTTCGGGATTTTACGACAATGAAAGAATAAACATCTTACAAATATAAACAGTGTCGTGTTTTTATCATTTAAATAATATACACACTGTTCAATTGTAACGAAAAATATGCACGTAAAGTAGATGCCTACTTTTAATTTGTAACAGTGTAACGTCTATCTTTTACATTCTATACATTTATCTTGTGGGTGGGTGTCCATATAATAAAAATAGGAATAATATACATAGCAGAGAAAGTATGGAATTTGTTTGGCTTATCGATATCATTAATTAGATTCTTTGTTTCATTCAACCGCTGTTTTCTTAGCTGGAGTTCCATCGTTGGTATCGCTGCTACGTCTCTTTCTTTGCCCCCGCTGTGCATTGCGACCTTTAATATTTCGGATACTCTTATAGTTAACATTTATCATATTTTAACGGTAGATAAAAAAATTATGAAATAAATTCAGTATGTATGAGAATTCAACTCAGCGAGATCCAGATGATCTCTCAGTATTAGCATGGCAAGTCATCATTATGGAGTTCATAAGATTGGAACTTTTATTTGTATCGTACAAGAAATATTTTAAACATTTCCCAATAGCTTACCTTTTTTACCTCCGCGTTTTCCTTTATTATACCTTTGCCTTGTATTTGCCATATCTTCTTTCGCTTTAGCGAGGTACTTCTCCTCTTCCTCGCCTTCGAGAATTCGGCACGTTACTTCTTTGTCATGAATTAATACCTACTCAGATAAAGAATATAAATGACTACTGGTGCACCGTGAATTGATAGTGTATGCATTTTAATTTAAATAGCTCACTTTGCTGTCCTTCATTTTATCAACTACAGTCTTCGCGGAATTCTCTCCTTGTAAACGAACCCAGCCTTCCTTATCACCCATCTTAAAATCAACGAATGCAATACTAGCTTGGAGTTCACTTAAACGTTCCTTGATATCTTCTCTTGTACATTTTTCAGGTACATCAGAAAAGTGAATCACACAGCCTTTAGGTAAGGCTGACGACTCTTTTTCGTTTTCGTTTTCTTCTCCACTCTCATCATCGTCCTTTTCTTTGCCCTGAAAATATTGCAAAACGCTGTAGTCGACTGGTTCATTACTTTAAATGTATAAAATACTTCCTATTGTACTAACAGTGTTATTTTTCTTAGCTTTTGTCTCAGATCTTTTCTGTTTCCTCTCTTCTTTTTCCTTTGCTTTTTCTACGCTATAATCGGCTCTAAAATTTTTAATCACTCATGAAACAGTGTATATTTAACAGAATCGAATATTCTGTAAAGGATTATTTGAGAAACTTACGACCACTTTCTAATCAACTCAGTGTCTCCATATTTTACAGATTCCCTAGCTATAAAAGCTTTTGCATCTTCCAAAGTCTTGAATTGCACAAAGATAGATCCTTTAAACTGCAACTTTTTGTCCTTATCGCTATACTTCCTCATCTATCAAACAAGAAAATAGTCTGAAAATCTAAACATTTGTTCACCAATTTCTTCTATTTGGGTGAAAAATGTTATAAGATGTAGACACTTACAATAATATTCTCATATGGTTCAAAATCATTGAAGAAGGTTTTGAGTTTTTCAATATTTGTGTCATTCAGAGGGAATCCTTTTACATAAGTTGTTCTGGCTTCCTGTGCCTTTCTATATTCATCATTATAAACTGGCAAGGGATGTTCTACTGAACGACGAATCTTCTTCTTGTCCTCTGATACCTCTATCAGATCACTCGACACTAAAGCTTTTAATATTACATCACTATCCTTGCTCATAGAAGCCAACATCTTAAAATTCAACATAATAGACATTGGTACCCATCCATTATCCAATTTTGTCTGTTCAATGAGAAACTTATCCCTCTGCATGTTAACATCTCCAAAATAGAACTGCAAATAATTAATAGCATATTCTTTATAGGTTGTTCCTTGTGTATTTATGTGATAGTAACATAGCAAATTTGTTTTATTATATATGTCCTCATCACAGATAGGAGGGAAAATAACATATTCTCTTTCTATTCACAGGATGCTGATACAACAGGAGTTTCCAGAATATAGGCTATAAATTAAACACTAAGAAAAAAAACTGTTTTTCTGCTTGATTCTACCAACTCCTAATTCAATCGCCAGCTTCGCTTGGGCGGACAATAACACAGCTACGAACCCACTACATGATAGAAATTCAGTTCAACGTTATATGTATCACAAAATTATATACCTCAATTTGATTTTTTATTTTTTCCAAGAGCTCACTAGACGGCTCATCGACTTTTCCATCTTCTTTAGAGTTTTCTTCGAGCTTAGGACCCGGCTTCTCGCATTTAACCTCATCGGCTGCAACATCATTCACGCTCTCAGGTTGAACTTCCTCTTTTCCGTTTTCCATTTGTCTCTCTTTACTTTAGGCACGTGTCTAAAAGAATACTACCGCGTCTTTCCTTTATAATACGTAAATTGAAACTGTTTTGTTGCAACAATTAAACACAAAACAGCATGACGCACACGTGCCTCTAAATTCGCTAAAACCGGAAATGAAGCTGTAACGAATGCTCTAACCGCTCTAACTGTATCAATACATTAAATTGAATAAAATATAAAAATAACTATGATTCACACTGTAAATAGAAAATTAACTATATCTTTACCATTTGCTATGATCATGTAATATAGCTCATTACTCTTTTTATTGCGCTTAATTTTTACTGTAGTTGTAAATTGAACATACCTACAACTTAAATATTCTTACCAGCTGCGCTAAAGCCACTAGCCATTAAAGCGACGCTTGCTTCCAACGGCAACTTGGAATACTGTAACATAGCATTTCTGGAAGCGAAAGTAAATTCAAATTTTAACTGCTATGTTTTAAGACTAAAATGTTCTAATATTATTTAGTTTCTTTCATTATTATTACTTTAAAGAGCATGATTCATTTTGTTCCATTATTTTAGCATCTCTATAAGTATTCTACTGTAGTGCGTTACGTTCATTTTTATCATAACATATTTTAAATCTAAACTTTTGATCTGTAATCTTTTTTATTGCACGTTTATAATAATTATGAAAATTAAAAATGTTTGTTAGGATAGTGTGTAATGATTTTAGACTTTAGACATTGGTACTAGTGTGCAGTGAAGTTGGTGCAACTCGGAGTAGCTTTGATCCCTTCCGGTTCGCTCTATCTGGGTGACTGTGTCTTGTTTAGTTTAGCTGTAATTAAATCTTTCTCCATCTTCCACCATGAGGATCTACAAGGACATTTTCACCGGTAAGATCATTTAATGCATCCTTAAGTAATAGACTTCATTAATATTTTTTGAATTGTTCATTAGACAACAGTGTCAATCAATTGTTTTATTTAAGTCCGGTTCATAGTGACATTTCTATCACGAACACCGATGTTCTAAAAGTGATACTTATAAAAATATCCTTTCACGCTCATTCAAATAGTTACAATGTAGCAGCACAGGGTGGTATACCTATTTCACGTAATTATTAGTATGCAACTATGTTACTTAAATATTCTACAATCTTATTTATAACCTCTCCATATGTCCCAAATGACTCGTTTCAATTGTACGATCTTAGAGAATGGTAACACATAACAATTAAAAAAAAATTGTATGAGTTTTAGTTCAAAGATGGTCTTCCTTTGTTAGTAACAATTGTGAAAATGATCGTTTAATTCAGGTTTCTAATATAATATGACCAAAATTTATGTATTGCAGGTGATGAGATGTTCTCAGACACCTACAAGATGAAATTGATTGATGATGTTATATACGAAGTATATGGCAAGGTAAAGTGTTGAATGTTATAGTTACAACTAAACTGAATGATTGTTAACTAATTATATTTGTTTATTTCTTGTAATTAGATGGTCACTCGTAAAGCTGGTGAAATTGAAATTGCTGGATTTAACCCATCAGCAGAGACAGCTGATGAGGGCACAGATGAAGCTGTAGAAAGGGGTGTTGATGTAGTTTTAAATCATCGACTTCAAGAAACTTATGCATTTAATGACAAGAAGTCCTATACTCTTTATCTGAAGGATTACATGAAAAAGTAATTGTCAAAATTGATATATATAATTACTTTTTGTTAAGTAATTTGTCTAATAAGCATATTTTTTTAACAGACTAGTAGCAAGATTAGAAGAAAAATCTCCTGATCAAGTGGAAGTATTCAAAACTAACACAAACAAAGTTATGAAAGATGTCTTGAGTCGTTTCAAAGACTTACAGTTTTTCACTGGTGAATCCATGGATATTGATGGCCTTGTTGCATTAATGGAATACCGTGACATTGATGGTGACTCTGTGCCAGTACTTATGTTCTTCAAACATGGTCTTGAAGAAGAAAAGTTCTAAACAATTTTAGATATGCAACAAATTATGGAAAAAAATATTGTAAGTTTAACATTAGTTGTTTGTATTCCTATAATATGGTACAGTAGAATCAAATATATACATGTAAATTCATGCCTTATACATTAATCAGTTGTATTTGGCATTGCACAAACATGTAAAAGAAAAATGGTGAACAGATTCCCGCTATGATGTGCCTTTTAAACACAGCGTCTATTTTAGCCAGACAATTTAATAAACTGTGCAAACAATTACATGCAGTAAATATATAATAAAAGTAAGTAACTTTATGTTTATTTTCAGATAAACTCAAATCAAGACTGTACACATGCTGGAAAGCTGTGAAATTTAGTTGAAAGGAGACACAATTTTACTTCCAATCTCATTTTACAAAACAGTTAAGTTATTTCTTTTAAACAAATAGGAAAACAATATATTAATGACCGCATCAAAGAAAGTAATAATTGTACATATGGCGTGACTGAAAAGAAAAGTAATATAAGATGTCCCCTTAATGTGACAATGTATTTGATTCACTGTGGTGTTTGTAATATTATTTTCTACCTTCTTTTTTATCGAATATTATTGGAACACTTTATTTATGAGAAAACAAATGGAAGATGGGGAAAGAACTTTGCAACAGTGGAAGTATCGAAGTATGTCTAATTATTGTTAACATCATGAATTGTCAGTGACTAATAAATATATCAGAAACATACTCTGTATAATGTCCATCATGAATAAAAAAAAAGTGTTTTCATAAATTCTGCCCACTAGGTACTTATGTTTTATTATGATTACAAAATTTTTTGATATTTATTTTCTTTTTGCATTCAAAATAATAAAGAAGCATAATGTAAAAGTAATATATTGTTTGTAAAAAAGGGTTTCTCCAATTAAATTTTGACTCCTACAGTCGATCAAGAAAAAGAATAGAAACTCATAGGTGAATATGGAAATGCAGTAAGCAAAACATTTTGATCGCTTCATAAAAATATTATATTCAGATAAGTCAGAATAGACGATTTATCTCTTGACGCGAGACCGTACATCATATTTCTTTAATCAAGGATTGTTATTAACCATACTGTTTTACATGTACATTCATATAATTACTTGTTCGCACCTTACTCTTTCATTAATATCCATTCTCCCTTGCATTCTTTCTGTTCCATGTTTACATAATTTATATATCCATCGTCGTTACACATCCTTTCGTAAATATATTACTCTTAACTCTTTATAAAACAGTTACCGACTGAATGCAGAATTCCTTGTATTCCAATGTTGTTTTCTTCGTACAGTTACCTTGAAATAATGTCGCGTTTGCACATACAAAAGCGTTGTTTAATCATTGCAATAATACAACAGACGTAACAGCAATTTTCCTTTCGTTAAATCACACGATGATAGTTGCAGCTTAAAGATAGTAAAAGATGGACTTAAAATGTGTATGTCCATGTATTTTATCACTTATGAGTGCATAGGTACAGCTGTACAATTATGTACACGCACATATGTACATACATATGTATAGACATTTCTTTAACTACTGAGCACAACCGTACGAAATATTATTGATTACTAATTACCAAGGCAGTTAAAAATAATATTAATTTGTGTTATCAAATGAATGTACAATGAAAGTCTGAAACAGTGGTTTAAATGATGAAATATCTTTAAGCTGTCGATACAATAATTATTTCTGGAATGGAATATCATGCTAGAAAGCTATTTGTACACCTTTAAATACGTTGTTTCCAAACGTTAATGTTTAATTTTTCCTTTCCACTGACACCCTTACAAGTCTTGTACAATGGTAATTCGCTAATAAACTGAAACACAATGATTTCAGTGAGGCTCTCTTCTCTGTTTGATGCAAAAAAAAGAAAATTTTCAATCATGGAATATCGGGCAACGCTAATATTCCAAAAAACAGTTAATTGTAACGGCAGTCGTGTGAGTTAATTTGTCGTTAAATGTGGCATTTATTAATACATAAAATTTATGACATTTATATACACAGAAGGATTTAGTACTCTCGCTTTTAGCTTAGTTCATTGAAGGTACAATATTTTAGTAGGACACCAGCTACTGTTGTTTAAGTGGGATGTACCTTACATGTTTAGTAAGGATAAACAGTTATTTAACCTTTATTATTATTTATATTAAACTTATTTGTACTGATCTATGCAGAAAGGGTGCGTGAAACTTTTTCTGGAATTCTAATCGAATTGAAACCATTTATAAAAATTTAAAACAACAACAATATCTGCTTTCATTCATTAGAAGAATGTGTAGATACAAAATATGGAGAATGTTAGTTGTATGTTACAGTACGGTTCAATAATTACAGATACATCAAGGGTGAAGGATTCTCTAAGTACCAAATAACAAATGCAATAAATATAAAGTAAACTATTTTTCACGTTTACTTTACCAATGCGTCACTGTACAGAAAGTTTACAACGCACCTCATTCTTCCACTCTAGGACACTGTTACTAAGTAAAACATCACTACATACAATTTGAGCATCATACCATTTCTATGATAGTTCAAAGAAGTATGGCAAAAGCATCGAGTTTATATCAGTTATGCCCGTATACGGTTCATTTTGTTCATTGAACAATTCGCTTCTCGCGCAGAAGCATGCTATTACTTGGCAGATTTTTTCAAGACATTCCAAATTCCTTTCTTTTGGATCCTCTTACCTTTAATCATTATCTGATTGCAGGGGACATTTCTCAATTCTGCCGCTATCTTTGTTTATTCTACTGACTACTACTGAGGTTCTCATTATTTGTGAAAGAGTTCTGTTTATATATCCATATATTATATGTATGTATAGATATCATCATTTTAACATTTATATATTTTATATGAAACTTCATTCACAGGTAGCAAGCATTCACGCCCTCCAATCCTAATGGTCTTTTACAGCTTGTTTTTTTTCTATTATTACATTGAGGAATTAGATGAGGTGATAGCAAAATGCGCTTCGTTCAGAGGTACTTTTGGTCAAGATGTATCTTTAGACTGAATACAATAAAAAGAAAATGTTACCTTGTGAAAGGTAATTTACGAAATTGTGATACAGTTTTCCTATGTGGTTTGTATAATGTATAAATAGTGTTACGTGACTTGAAGTTATTTGAAATTATAGAAATTGAATCCATCAGTTTTCGAAATTTATGTTGTAATTTAGTTGAACATAGTAATAAATAATACAGCAGGCATCTAAAATGAACAGCATAACTTCAGTAATATTACAAACGGAAAGTCGGAAATTTAATATTGTGTTTTCTCGTGGTATGCATAACATTAAAAACTCTCATCAAATAGATAACAATAACCAACAACTAACAATCGTAAGCATTCACGCAAAAATAGAAATATGTTCAATAATATTTAGTATTATCATAATTTATATTATCCAAGTAAGTATGATCGTTCCTTACGTTTTCTAGGGTACTACATATATTAATTTATATTGATGACTGCAACTGAAGGATATGAAGAAACTCCTTTTTTTCCATTATAGAATTTCTAATTGAAATACAATAAAGCTAATTTCTTTAAAAATATTTTACAAAAAAAAGGTATAAATAAATTTCTCTAACTTTCCAGAATAATGCACCAGAGATGATCAATACAACAAGATCATAAAATATATATTCCACTAGTTTAATTTGATATCCTTAAACTAATCAATAAAGCACGAGGATTAAAATATATAATTTGGAATATATTGCAACGAATTTAGATTCCTATCTAATTAAAAATACCAATATAATGGTTTTTCACTTACTTAAAAATATAGAGTAATAGAATGGGGTGGCATTCTATGTCTAAAATTACCATTATTCTCTTATATCCTTCAGCTCGAATCATGAAAGAGTTCTGTAAATTGCTAACAATGACAGAGTAAGGTTTCTGTCATAGTCCTGTCCTTGATCAGTTGAATTCTATACATCTAGATCTAAAGGATAACCATACACATCTCGCAAGTGCTTTTCCCTTCAATGTTCCAAGGGCTCTTAGATTTTTCAAGGAAAGGTAATAACTTCTCATTGGATAGAAAACCATTGAGAAACATTTACATCTTGATCGCTACACCTAGCGGCATATGGTATAGTATAATCGGACACAACAGGCAGAAACTTGGTACCAAGGTCTACTAGAATCGTTGAATAAAAAATTTTGGTGCAATTTGCCGTACCAAAAGTGAAAACCACTCTCTTATAATAAAAAAGAAATCACCAAAAGGCTTCTCGATACCTCAATAACAAGATATCGTCTCCCCGTTTGTCACGGTTTCCATACTTGATTACAGACACAAAATGTCTTTATATATATATATATTCAATATATATGTATACATATATCGAACAAATCTCTTTCTATACTCTAAAAATACAAAACAATAAATTATCGTGGTGCATACGTGTAAAACCGCTTGCTCTTTCGTTTTATGCAAGTATGTATATTATCTATATGCAACTGTGGCTCTTTCAAATGACGATTCGGATCGAGGCAGAGTTGGAATGTAAAAAATACCCGAGAACTTGTTCGCGTTGATTGCATCCACGTCGAGGACTCTGTAGAGAGGGGTGTGTACGCGGTGAATTGTAAAACTATTTTGAAAGACTTACAAGAAGAGAAACAACTTACTGATTATAGGAGATACAAGGCTGCACAATATCTCTTAATGATTTCTGTTGTTACCAAAACTAATGATTAACGACACTTCTATATACACGTATATTATATAAAGATACTCAGATATTAATTTGCACGTTATCTGTTGGTGGTACAAATTTCTCATGGTTACCAGTCCTGGCAACAACATGAATCACAGAGGTATATTGCACAGGCAGGATTAGAAACGAAGTGAATGTCTTAGGAACTTCCATGTTTGCAGGGGACGCAAAGGATTCAACGTGGATACAATCGAGCCAATAACAATAATCCAGTAAACGAAGTCACATAATTATATAGGAGGACCTTGCTCAGATGATGGCATTATTAACGCGTTGACTGTCCGACAGATATCTGTATAAAAAATTTTCAATAATTCGATCCCCTTTTCGCGTAACCCTCTAACACTACCAGGGGTCTTAGGCAACATAGAATTACAAAAGATTATCAAATGACTCATCAAACGACCCGATAATTGTTGGTCAAAACTATTGACAATTCAACCAGAACTTACAAATGTATCACCCACGCATAATTAATGTGTGGCAGTCAACATGTCAAACAGACAGAGATCGTTCCAGTAGCTTCCAGGGAATCAACGGGTTCCAACAGAGGAGGGCTGAGCTACCTATTCTTGCGGGACCGAGTACATCTCGTTGCGACTTCCGTAGTGCTCTCGATACGAATCGGCTGAAAGATCGCCGGGGCTAAGGTCGGACACGATGCGTTAACAAAGACATAAATAAAAAGGTGAAGGGAGAGGGGGGAGTGTAAGTAAATTTCAGCTGGCTGCTCGACGTTAGAATACCTTGGCGTGGAGGCGTCGGTACCCGGCGAGGTTCGTTAACGTGGTGTGTACATATATATCTCGAATGCAGGTGTAATATTTTGTTTTTTTCCTTTCTGATTTTCTTTCCGTTCGGTGTATATGTTTTTCTTTTCTCGTCGTTTCCCTCATAGATCGGTGTGCCCCAACACGCGGCACACCGTCTGCTCCTAAGGATCTGACTGTGACTCGAGCATCTCCACGAGGAAATCGTCGATCGGCACGTGGATCTTGAAGAAGAACAAGTGCTCCAGGCACTTCAACCCGATCGATCGAATCGCTGGCAAGCGTAGCAATAGCTTCGCGAATCTGCCGGCGTCGTCGGGCCAGGTACCGCGACAGTATCCTTCCAGGGCGGCGTAGATCATCTCGCGAAGCTTCGTCACGTCCTGTACCGATTTTAATCCCCGGACTTCGGGGTTGAAAAGAATGATAGCCCTGTGTAGAGGATTGAATTTATTCGATGTTAAAACTAAGAAAATCAGTTGTTTCGCAGTAGACAAGTATACATTCCCGGCTGACTGAAAACTGAAAGCTGTCACAAACACACATACGCGTGCGCGCGTGCGAAAGAATACAAGAGATTCTCGTTACAGATCCCTTACTTGCCGACGGGCATCTTCTACTATTCCTGTTTTATCTGACTGGTGTCATTGGAAATTATCTACCGATCCCAGACTCGGTCAGCCGATAGTGTGATAGATATTTTGGATATAGAATATTTTTTTACGGTCAAGGTCTACCCACCTGAGGCAACCAAGTTCAGTCCTGTCCATCCTCATCTCACGCATTTTGGACACGAGCTCGGAGAGGACACGGTCGAATATCGTACCCACGCCAGCCTGCTGCGCCGAGTTACGATATACAGTGATCCCAGTCGCCAACACGATACCGTCCTTCACGTCGATGGACCGGTGTGAGAATGAGGCGATCAGCAGCTCGTTCCATCCGGCCCGTAGCAGCAGAACCTGATCCTCCAGTGGCAACGACGTAAAATTTGGGATGTGCTTCGCCCATGCTACCAGCTGGAACAGCTGATTGTCGCAAATGCGCGACACTGCATTCTGTGCATTACAAGAGATACGCTGGATTAATTGAAGGAGCGTTTCGTGGAACAGCTACACACACCATTCCACGAAAATGAAACCGACACGTCCGGCTCACAATAGACAAGCAAAACGCGTAGTTAAATGGCGTTGTCGTGTGGGCTGATACGCGCCGATTCGCAGAACGGCGTATCAGACGAAATCGTCTAATTGCTACGACCGTCGCTCCGTTCAAAATATGTTTTTTTTTTTTTTATATTTTTTGTTTTAATTGTTTGATCATGGAAGGGGTAGCCCTGTGATGATGGTTCCCCCCCTGGTGGAATATGTATTTCTCTGTCTGACAGTCAATCTTCCGCAGTTTGAGTTATACGTGACCAGTGCTTTGCCCGGAATTGTTCGAAGATCGTGTTCCTGGATATGCCAAGTGAAATATCTGACTAATCTTCGTGATCGAAGATGCATTTTTCACCGTATTAGGGCATTATCTTCGAGCTGATAAACCAGATGGTCCTTTGAAGTGAATATATATACCAGATGATTGGATAAGATGAATAATACTTGAACGATTGTGGTCTTTCAGTCGACGTATATCAAAGTATGGATCCTCTTTGATGAATTTACTTGGGTACAGGTGATGTCTTTTAAGTATATGATCCTCTAAAGTCTATGCATAGCAAGCAGCCGAATGAGGTAAATTTTCATCGATAGAAATGATCCTCCTATCAGTAGGAGTATTTCTCATCCTCCAGAGTGAATCAATCGTAACAGATATCATTTTTTAATGCAAATCTATGCGAGCATACACGAATCTACCATCTAAATCTATTAAAATAAGTGGCTCTGCAAGATGAGAGCATCATTGCGGAATATCGGTTACCCTCGTAAGTCAATCCATTTAAATACAAATGCTCCCTCTCCCACGTGAATCCGTACAAAGGCACGATCCTCCAATAACTCCGAGCACAGCGTGTCATTTATCGAGCAACTCGATCGGCACTGTGAATTTCTTTCGGGCCGACGAACCACGATTCGTATCCGACAACCCGCTAAAAGGACACACACATCTCTCTCGAACAAATGAATTGATTTCTTGTCTCGAGAACTCGGTTGTTGTATCGTCTAAAAGCAAATCATGTATCGCGTGAAAGCATCTCTCGATGACATATCCATATGTCGTATTATACACGGAACCAACGGAATGGTAACGAATATTTCGAACACGATGGTGTCCCAGCCGCAGCAGCAGCGGCGGCGGCGACTCCAGACGGGTATTAAAATTCCAAGAGGGGGGAAAAAAAAATTTAATTCCGCAGGATTGGCTTTTTTTTTCATTCGCCACCTGAGGTGTATCCTCTTCGGACTGGCGACGTCCAATCCCTATACTCGACAATAATCGATCAGAAATTATTCACTGAAGATGTCGTCGAGGGACTAGAAAGAAAGGAAGAGTAAGTAGCTAGTTCCCATTCCATTAGGATCGTGGGCACGAGTCATGTTTCTTGGTTCGCTCGTCCAAGGGATGATAAAACCGTCTGATGGATGGCGTGTATCCACGCGAAAGTAGCTATTGAGAACCGATACTCTCGGGTGGACACGCGTCATTTATTATACAGTACAATATTCCCTCTTGTATAAGCACGTTTTCTTGACCACCTCACAATCAGAGGACATTGGCCATCTCAACCGTACCAAGATTTTTGGGTGACACCTTTTCAAACAAAGCTAACTCATGGCAGAGGTTTAACCCTTTAACGATCGAATTTTCTTTTGGAAATGTGCAACCATTTGCTTCCTTTATTCTAATGAAAGAAGAAATATATTTTTCAATTTTTACTCAAATTTTAATTTTTCTAGCAAAAGGTATTTTACTCCTTCACGTGACGAGTATACTGGTCATTACCCAAAAAGTGGTCATTTCCTGACGACGAGTATACTCGTCAAACATCGTTAAAGGGGTTAAAAGATTCAACTCACGAGAATTACCACTCTCTATACGATTATAGCCACCAGAGTTCAAAAATCGTGATGTTACACAGTGAGAAGATTGTACTCGAACAAACCCATGATGGAGGGTGGAGGGTAGGAACTGATGTAAGCTGCTCCGGTACGCTCGCTTCATCAAACTCCGTATATTTACCTCGTAATTTTCGTGGGACTCCATCTTGCATTCGACTCGTTTCTCAGCCTCCAGGATACGCTCGATAGGCATGTCCGAGTTCAAGTTACTCGTGCTCTCTACCTCGCTCTGATCCTTCTCCTTGGTGCGTTGACGCTCCTCCTGCACCGCCTCCCTCTTCATTCCCATCGCCAGGCATTTCTGGTATCTGCAGTACTGACACCGATTCCGTTGCCTCTTGTCGATGATGCAGGACTTCTCCTCCCGGCACGCGTACGACAGGTCCTTGCGCACGGTCCTCTTGAAGAAACCCTTGCAACCCTCGCAGCTGCAACACAATTAGGAATCGTTCGAGCACATTGTTCTCCAATTAACGGGACTAAGTGGAACATATAAACCTGAACATAACGTATACCACAGTAAAATATATACATATTGACGGATCATCGAATTAACGATAACTCGACGGAAAAATCTAATTGATTCAGGCTAGGGATGCTCGATTCCGATTCGATTCTTCGGAAGATCGATTCCCTTGGGTAACAACACATGACTGTCATGTATAACACGTACACTACCGGCCAAAATTGTGGGATCAGGTCTGATAATTAAAGAAAAAGGAACCTATTATTCTATAAAGAGTTGTATGTTGTGCTATATGTTATACATGACAGTGATGTGGTACCCAAGAAAATCGATCTTCCGAAGAATCGAATCGAACATCCCTAACTCAGGCTCGATCGCGAGATTACCAGTTTCTAACGAGAAAGGAATGTGCAGATTTTAACGATTTACGTCGGGGGATCAGAGTTAAACAGAGGACACCAAAGGCCCTCGATATAATGTTACAACGCGATAAGGAACGGTGTCGAGATTCAGCATTTTGGCACGGAAAGTGAATCGTTCGCGAGCCACAAACGCAAACGACTCGTATTTCGTGAAAGCGTTCGAGGTCCGATCGTTCCCCAGTCGTTGTTTCTTTTCTTTGTTTCCCCTCTTTCCGTTTCTTTAGCCTGACTAACACGACGAGTCGTCGAATAAACTACCTACGGTTTACGTGGTGTTCCATCGTGGTAACCGAAAACACTGTCGACCGGATGAACCGAGGATGCGCGTAACACTGTCCTGGGAAGACTAATGGTCGGTTGGAGACAATTCGTGGAGACCATTGGCTATACGATAATTTTGTCACTGATAGCCACACATACACCGAGATACGTATTCTGTGTTGTTCCAAAATCTTCAACGGTCACTAATTCATAGTGGAGCGAAAATTGTTTAAATTTGATACAAGGAATTGAAAAAAATCAATATTTAATCGGTTGTTTATTTTAGTACCTTAATTTGCTCGTTTTTATATATAATGATCTGGTGCTATCAGCCTCTATATGAGGAATAAAATCGAAGGCTGACGAGGAATAAAGGGGATCTAAATCAACGAGTGCAATGGGATAGTCTTCGTTGTAGACTGTTTCCACATTCCACGATCGTTAAAGCCGCCGATGGATCGGCATTTTAGAAGACGGAACACGCCGGGCCAGGGGCCTTCGTTTTTAAAATTGGAACCTCTCCAGCTATCTCGCGACGCGGCCAGAAAAGCGGCGAAACATTCCGCGAGGAATTTATTTTCGTTTGGCGGCTCGGGCCCGTATATTTTCGTGGCGGGCATACCGCCCGGCCGACAATTTCATATTCCTCCTTTCTCCGTGTTTTCACTCGCGCGACAACAACTGGGCACGTGGAAATGGTTCCATTCGGGTCGTGTGTCTCCACGTCTGAAAATGGAGCGTAGCGAAAAAGAGTGTTCCAGAGAGTGGAATTTCAGAAGAAAAATTGAGGAAGAGGGATGGAACTTTCGGAGGAAGTAGAAGAGGAGCAGAAGTTACTAGAAAGTTATGTAGATAAAAAAAATATATATACTAAAAGAATATAATAGAAACTGTGAGGGTAGAAGAAGAGTATGTACTTGCAGAGACTAAAAGCAACTGGTGTACTGTAGAACGGTAAAACTTCCAAATGAAATGGTGAAAGAGGGGTGAAATTTAGACAGGAAGTAACAGAAAAGGAGTAGAACTTTTAAGGGAGCAGCCGAAGGTGAGACTCGAAGACGAGGTAGAAGTAGACTTTAGAGGGACGATGGAAGAAAAAGGGTGAAACTTAAAAGGGAATGTAAAAAGAGGGTCGAACCGAAACAGAGAGGAGGAGAAGTTGAACCGGTGGACGAAGTAGAAGGCTGGGCCCGACTAACAAAAGAACTAGAAGTAGAATCGATCTTGTAAGGGTAGGAAACGAAGGGGTACTGAAGACTCACGTGAGAAGTAGAGAAAAGAGAAGAAGTTGAACTCACAGGGGGTAATGGAGGTAACAGTACAAGACTGTACTTCACAGAATAATCACAGCTCGAGTAAGAGGTAATTGAATTGTAGACTTACGCTTGCACATGAATAAAAGAAGGATTAAACTTCCATACGAATGAAAGAGGAAGAGGATCGAGATTGAATTTTCGAACGAACAATCGCGGAAAACAGAATCTCGAGAAATCAGTAAACGTAACGAGCCAACAATGTTGAAGCAAGATTAATGAAAAAACGCAAGAAGCGGATCGGCTCTCGGCAGAAAGAAGCGGTAAAAGAATACTATTGTAGCGAAACGGAAGGAGGAACGCGAAAGATCTATGTACAAACACGTGATCAGCGTGACGCTCGTAAAACGTTTTAACGCGTTCGGCCGAGCGGTTCGGGATAAATCAAAGTCGCACGCGTCTTTCGCTCCGAGGATAGTACCCCTTTGTTTTATCCCGTAAATTTCGTCTTTCTCCCGGGTAACACGATGGGAAACGATTACGGTGATCCCGTGGATTTCGTTGGGACATCAAAATACTCTCGACCTTCGGGGAGTCGTAGAATCTCGCGGATCGATGGCTCGTCGGCCGAGATTCATGCGCTGTTTTTAACAAACGGAATCCTCTGAAGGATTCACAATGCACATTTCTCTGGTGCAGAATAAAAAACACTGATCCATTTCCACAGAAAAATTGTGAACTTCCTAACATTAGATTGAATTTACTACCCGCTGTATTATGAGAATCAAGGGGACGAAAAGATTAATTACGGTTCTACCGACGGAAGGACAATCTGCTTCGTGGAAAATTATCTCGAGGCTGCCTCCCCGAACACCTAACTTCGTCGACACGTGGTAGGCAATTCCTGGACCACCGTGCCAGACTCGTTTGATCTTCGTGAGTTTACACGAAAGACAAATACGACTGACGCGAGACACGCGCGAGGATGAAGCGCGTCCGTCCGTCATCTCCTCGAAGCCAACGCGTTCTCGCCTATCGAGTTGAGGAATCACGTTTGGTACACTACACTTTGATCCGTTCCCTTTACGTCCTCACTATTTTCCCCTGAACCTCTCGATATTTTACACTGATAAAATCTAAGGAAATATCTTCATCAGCCCTGCTACCAGATCGTGGATCTTATGGATTTATGGAGAATGGGGTAAACGCAACAAAACGAAAACCCTGATTAATTTCTAATTAGTCTCTTCATCTCTGTTGCTTTGGATTTAATCAATATATTCTCTTATGTAGAACAGGGAAACCTGATTATGGTTTCTTCAGATCTGGATAAACACCTAGCCCTATAGAAGAACGCCTAACCCTATAGAAGTATAAAAGAACACATAACTTAACGGATTTAAATCAAAAGAATCACTAATGAAACCGATGTTCCTTTTGGAACAGAAAGTTCTGAAGCAGTATGTCCATCATTCGTGTCTCTACAGTTCACTACTCGCCCTCTGACTATACAGTCTCCTCCCACCCACGTTAGCGAAGAGGACCGATAGTCTCGATGCTTGTTGCGTCAGAGCCAACCTTGGACTTGCCGTGGCTCAAGAGGTTAGGAAGACTAGCCGGCCGTAGTTCCTACCAGGGGGAAGAGAGCGAGGCGGGTTCCCAGCGTCTTGGTCGTGCAGGCACTTTGCTCCAGTGGCAGCTAATTAAGCAATCACGGCCATTATCAAGGCCCGGGCTCGCGCGCCGTGTCAGATGTGCATCGCAACCGCCGGGTTGTCTATCGTCGCGTTAAGGATTTAATGAATAACATTACAAGTATTCAATGAATGCATTTTCGAAAACAGGAAACTGTCTCCCTCATATGTCATTTGCTTTCGGTTCGTTGCTAATTCTTCGTCGTGAAGTAGAATGCATAATGAAACTTCAATAGACTTTAATACATTTTTATTCTACTACTGATCCAACAATATTCTTAAGGGAAGAAGAAATTTCTTCTCTTCTACTGACCCAGTTCTATCGATGGTCTTCTGTTCACGACTATCAAACATTGAGAACTGTGTAAATAAATATTTAATAGATAAATTCTCCACGATTTCATTTTGTGGGCGGGAGTGGACCGTTTAAAAAAACCTCCCTATGTATCACGAACGAAGAACGATCGAAATAACGTGAAAGGTGAAAAGTGCACGACCGTCGCGTGCATGTAACGATCGACAATCGTTGGTCTTTTTAAAAAGTTGCCGTAGGGGACCATATTTTATTGCCGATGAAATTGACGGCAGCTGCAGGCCTCGACGACAAAGGAAAGACGACTCCGTCGTTCGTGACCATTGCGAGAGGAAGCACCAGAATTTCGTAATTCTAACATCGAGCCAGTTCGAGATAAAAGTCCGATCTCCTTGGAGCGCGGCGGTTCGCCGACATTTCCATTATTCCGTGGAAGTTCGTTGCTCGACGATTATGCAAATGCAGCGTCGTTGCATCCACCACGATACAGTTTATTAATAAACGTCCGAACGACAGGATGAGTCACGGGTATATCATTTACAGCGATTAGACTGCGGATACGCGTGACAAGTACAATTTTTTGGGCGTTAATTTGCAAGAACTAAACTTCGTTCGTATATTGCATTCACTTTCCAAAGGTTCTAACAGGCTCTAAATTAAATGAAATTGCGATTAACTAACAGCGATGATACACGACACTCGGGTCATTTCTAACGATTTCTTCTCCTCTTATTTTCCTCTCAATTCTATTTTTTCCCCCAAAGAGATTAAGACAATCCTTAATCGTGCGACGACTTTCGCGATACGAAACGCAAGACGCGTGGTCGAAGGTCACGATAAACGAAAAAAAAAAAAAAAACAGACTTTTATCATTGCAACGCGAGCCTTTTTATCGTTGTAGGTGAAACCGGCGCTTGTTAACACTTGGTCTCTGTCGTTTTATCGAGCAAAATCCGGGAACCCTGAACCGATCATCGTTCCACTAGTGGAAAAGTATCGACGAGTTTACACACCGTTTTGAGTAACAGTTACGATAAGAATATTTTCAACTGAATAACAATCATTAATTTTCGGTATTTTGTAGTAAATGTACACGTAATTATTATTCGTTATTTTTCAACGAATCGTTGAAAAATGGTTGACGTAAGATTTTCTTACCTGTAGACACCGTAGTGCTTGCCGCTGGCACGGTCACCGCAGATCGAGCAGAGGTGCTTGCTTCCGGACAGAGGGTGGTTTGGCGGGTACGGTATGACAGACTTGTTCTGGCCACTCGGCGACGTGCTCAGGAGGTTGCTGTGACAACCAGTGTTGAAGGATCTTACATGCAAATAAGAGAATAACAAGAACTCGACCTACCACACTACTGCCCCCCCTTGCTTGAGCAAAATACTGCGCTTGGAATTTCGTCTCTGGACTCGATGGAGCTATGGGATTGCAGCATGTAAACATAATTTTGTTACCTATATAAAAAAACTATCAAATATTCTCTGTTAATTTTTGGGAAATAAATAACAAGGACTTTCGGCTCTTAATTATACACGAGGAAGATTCAGTGTCCAATTAAAGGTATCTTGGCATTTGATAGAAGATTATAATCGCCATTGGTGGAGAGCTGAATATATCAGTTAATTAATAATCCATTTGCTGCAATCCCATAACGGTAGTGTAAGACGAAAGAATGAACAGTATTTTGCTCGATGCATACCTAGGGTGCGACTACAATTATAGTATACCCTCGATTCGCGACATCTTCTCGCCAGAATACCATTTCTTGGATATCTGTCGAGCTGATTCAACCGTCACCTGATCAAACACTCTGTTCAGAGTGCTATCGGTCTAACTGATTGTCTCTCAAGGTGACACTCAACGGGGTACTGCTTACCCTGGACTGTTTGGGCCGGAGGGGCTGAAGTTTCCTGAATTAATCAGGCTCGCTGTGTCCGGTTTCATGTCCAGGGGACTCTGTGGGCCCACCGAGGACATGGACATATTGCTGTTGTCCAGACTCAACCCTGCAACAACAAATAATTCTCTTGTTAGAAAAACCAAATTGTTATTATCCAAAGAAGTTTTATATGTTCAAAGTCGTGAAGATCCGAAATCTTCTATTCCGGAACTTTAATATTCGAAGATACTTGGAGTCCAAGTAGCTTTAAATTCTATGACACCTAGGGTCCAAGTTACCATAAATTCCAGACCACCTGAAGTCCAAGTAGCCTTAAACTCCAGGACACCCAGAGTCAAAGTGGCTTTCTGGCTACCTAGGTATTTCTTTTTGGAAACTGTTATTTCTCGCGTGTCCCGAATAGACTATGCTTTCTATCCGCTTACGAGTTACACTTTTACCCGATTAATATTTACATCGCGTCGTCCTTTTACTTTCATCAACCGGAGCAGCTGGCCGCGATTCCCAACGGATCGAGGACAACGCGTCTCTCTCGCGGCGAAGTGCAGCCACGCTAATTACCGAGTTAATTACCGAGAGTCCAAAGAGGCGATTTCGGCGATTTACAGTTACAGGGAACTTCTTACAATCGGACAAGAATCGAATCAACGAAGAAACGAGTCATCTATATCTTTGTACGGTGACTAAATCAGGAAAATTTCCTGAAACTACGGAGAAACTGATATTCCACTGTTAATATTCCGATTAAAGGGTATATCCGTTCCAAACATTATCAAAGTTTTGATTAACCAAGATTCTACTTTAATTAACTGCCAGGGTCGTCCATTTTGACCCGAGTTTCTCTGGATGTTCGCGAGGACCGCTGTAAACGAACTCGTAGATCCGTAAGTGGCCACACATCACACCGTGCCTCCATCTATTTCTTTTATTTCACGCTCCATTTCGGGCAGACGGTAACATCACGTTTTTTGTAGCGATAAGTGAGGGGAATTTCTGACAAGATAAATGACATTTTAATAGGGTTCGGTTGGACGATCACTGATAACCCTCTGCGCCACGTCGGGCGAAGGGGCAGAGGGGATGAAAGAGGACGAAAGGAGGGAGAACCGGATGATCCGTTAAGGACACCGTCAAGTGTATAGGTAATTGGTACGTTTGACGTCACGTTCCTTTCTTCTCTGTCTTGTCCCAGTGTTTCTTTATTTCTGTCTCGCATCGAAGACGCATCGGTGCTCGACAAATACGCAGCAGACGCGGACGGATGCACGAGCAGTGTTTGAATTGAATAAAGGAGTCCCTTGAAATCCAGGAGTGCTATCGTCTAAGAAATATTCCTTCAGAAAAAGGATTTTCTTCATATTCTACAATTACGATCAATATTATTTTGTGTCTATTAGTTTAAGATGTCTCAGTAATCCTCGAAGAGTCGAACGGAAGAAATTGAAGTCCTTTCGGGGCTATCGAGGTCCTTCACAGGTTAGCGAGGCTTTTCAGGATCTTCCAGTGAAGCACCGAGGTCCTTCAGGCACCCAGGAAGATTCTTCGTGTCCTTCCATTCTCGTCATGGAATATAACGTCCTCTGAAGGATCTTCAAAACCTTTCTAGGACCCTCTAAGGAGCACCAAGGTCTGTGGGGAACTATTATCTAAATTTTTAAAGGCTTGGAAGACCCTCCAGAGACTGTGAAGGTTCTCCAAGTTCTATTAGGATCTTCTCTACCTAGCGAATCTTTTGAAATCATTCCCTAGATCGTGTGAACGATATCACGGTTTAATACATAGAACGATTAAAATGTAGGTTAAATACTTTTCTCGGCGCGCACAGACGCGAGTTGCAGTCCTGTACGCTCAGTTTCGAACGTTGCACCGGCGTGTTTGCGTCTGGTTAAGGTGCCCGACACTGCCGGTATATTATAGCGTCGCCGGACTTGGCCTTGCAGCCACTCTCGTGTCCTTGTCCCAACGTCTCCCGCCCTCTTTGATACGATTAAAGCAGCGCTCGCACAACTCGTACACGAGCAACATTTGAAGATTTACGTACGTCGAACGCCTCTGAATAAAATATTCTGCACTGCATAAAAGATTCATCGACTACTATATTACGTCCATCGACTACTCTATTTGAGTAGAAGCTTCATCGACTGCTCTATACATTGAGTAGCAGTTTCATCGACTGCTCTACACATTGAGTAGCAGTTTCATCGACTGCTCTATACATTGAGTAGAAGTTTCATCGACTGTTCTATACATTGAATAGAAGTTTCATCGACTGCTCTATACATTGAGTAGAAGTTTCATCGACTGCTCTATACATTGAGTAGAAGTTTCATCGACTGCTCTATACATATATTGAATAGAAGGTCCATCAACTACTCTATATCAAATAAAGGGTCCATTGTTTGCTCTATACATACTAAATCGAAGATTTATCGGCTGCTCTATACTGACCAAAAGATCCATCGATTACTCTACGTCTATAACAATGACTGACACCAGCTCGTTATCAAAATTCCGTCGATTATTCTGAGTTAAACACATATTTTTAGACACTTCGAGTAACTTTACAATTTTCACGGCGGCGCGAGGACGACACACGTGAATGTTAATTTCTCGAATACCATCATTCAGTCGAGCCGTGTCGTCGATTCCACTGAGCACAGAGATCGGGGTGGTGGGATAGAGGGCAACGGATCGTGTTTCTTCTAGAAAGTCAAACGAGGATGTTTACCCGCGGGCCGGACGATTGCATCGCGCAACATTCGGCGCGGATGCAAAAGTCTCTTCTGCCGTTCCGTCTACGACGTGCACGGCCTTCGGTCCGCTTAGCGAGCCGGTTGCGTAATTAAAGCGGCGGCGCAACGCTTAATAAACGTCAACGATGAGAGGCACGCAATCGGCGACCCTAACACACTCGAAATAGAAGTCGCCAGAGTTACGACCTCGGGCGTAATTATACGTTTCGCAGAGGAGGGAGAGGGGAGGGTAAAAAAGAGGGGAAAAAAAAAGCGCGCGACTGGATGAACGGTCGATGATGTCGTGCCGTCGCGTCGTTTAACCTTTTCTGGAGTGATTGGACTCTAGTCTAGCCCCGACCGTTTTGTCTCGTTGCGCTCTTGAACCGACGCTCGCGAAATTAGAATTCACGCGACACGTTATTCCTTAGACACTGCGTGGGCATAACTATAAAACCACCCGAAAATTTTCAATCCTTACGTATTATGGTTAAAATAAGAAACTAGCCACTCTTTTCTCCAGGGAATATAATTTATCCTTTTCTGGAGAAACATTATTTCGCAACACGATTTCAGACATGGCATATACCTTGAGCCGTTTTTATTTTAACCACAATATACATAAGAACTGAACATTTTGTGGTGGTTTTGTAGTTATGCTACACAGTGTATGTGACTGCTTTCAAAACAGTTTTTAGAACAGAATACGTATATTTTATTTCGATTTAAGAACTCAGGGAAATTATTTCACTGAGGATCGATGGACGAAATCACTTCACTGCTCGAGTTTTAAAACTGCGTGTGTAGCAAACGATTGCGTCCAGAACGATACTATGGAAATTGAAAGCGGTGCGCGTCAATCCCACGAATGAAGTTTCGAGAACCATTGCCTCTCGTACGCAATTTCGGTCCCCTGTAATCCCAGGATAAAACGTAATAGCCAGCATCCCCAAGGAAGATCGAGTTGGAACAGGGAGACAGAACCTACGTGGAGGGTTTCTCCTTGGCGGCCATGTCGCAACAGAATGCCGCGATCGATACACTCGGTGCGATACATGACCATGCCCAATTCCACGGAGGCTTCTCTGCCCTTGAGAATCAGGTTCGTGTGGTTCGCCTTAACGCGCGCGCACTGGGCCCCCGCGTGTTCTCCGACTCACCTCTCGAATGGCAAATATGTTTTAAATATTCAAAAGCCCGGCGGCACTCCTCGACTCATTGTTGGCGTAGGTCGGTCAGGTTTTTCCTCTTCTCCTTTGGTCCCCCATTTTCTCAATATATATCTCTCCACCAAGTGCCCCCCGCGTTCATTTGCCATTTTCCTTATTTCTATATTTCTTTTATAATTCTATCAGCTACCGATTATTTACAGTGACTCACGCATTCGTTCACAGACTTTTGAAAACAACAATTAGATGTCAAAACTTTCGTGCAATTTCTATTCACGTGTCCTCCGTATCATTACTTCTTATCATTCTTTCGTGATAAACTTTTTTCAATTTTGAAATAAATTGCCATTTTGGTAAATAATTTGATCAAATAGAAGTGTCAGCCTTTCGTCAACAAACTTGCGAGTCACTGTATGTATATATGGACGGATGTAAAGGGTTCATTATGATACACAGGATGTCCTGTTAACGAGCAACATAACCGACGACAGAATTTTCTTTTACAGCAATTCATTAACAATTGTCCACTTTGAATTGATAAGGATGTATTCGTATCTATCTCGAACCACATATGCTTTCGAGCGTCTCCAGTTCCAAAACAAGAAGTGCATTAGGGAGGCGGCATCTGGAGGAGAGTGAGGGGGGGTTTGTTTTCGGCGAATATTATTTCGCCGGGCGCGAAACCCGAGACAGGAAGGGATAAAAATGGGAGGAGGGAGGATAATATTGCAGATACGAAAGGTCGACAAGGGGATAATAGCGGAGCGGAGGCGATGGCAAGACAAAAGGGAAATGCCTGTCGTTATTTAAAAGAAAAACAAGAACCATAATGGACATGGTATCGTGTTTCATAACTGTTCCAGAGAGGAATTAATAAATATTGCGTGAAATCGTGCGCACCAGCCGAAGATACGGGGCACAGTCTCGTTGAAGCAGAAGTCTATCGCGAACGAGTCGTCTCTTCTTCATCGTACTGGATGCGATACAGTCTAAATATAGTGGCAACACGTACCGATGATAATTGTTACAGCATTGACATTGAACGACGTTTGCGGGATGCCTTCTCTCGTCGATTCAATTATACCCGTTGCAGTTTCGATTGCTTCACCATAATAGTGGAAACCACAAATTCCAAAACAGCACAAGTCCACTGTTACTTTATGGTCTTAAAAATGGTTAAAAATGATTAACCCGTTAACTAGATT